CGTTACCATAGCAACTGTAGAATCACCACAACAGATCAATTACTGTACTTGTGTTACCATAGCAACTGTAGAATCACCACAACAGATCAATTACTGTAGTTGTTGTGTTACCATAGCAACTGTAGAATCACCACAACAGATCAATTACTGTAGTTGTTGTGTTACCATAGCAACTGTAGAATCATCACAACAGATCAATTACTGTACTTGTGTTACCATAGCAACTGTAGAATCACCACAACAGATCAATTAAGGCATTTCACAATAGCATGGTTGAAGCACACTGCAGTGTTTACTGAATGAATGACTGTAGGATTTGACCTGTATCATGTAACAGGTCAGGAGCTTCAGAACTCACAACAGCTCTGCCTTCACCAGTTTATCAATCACAGCTGAAAATAAACACACACACACACCTGTGGCTCTGTGGTTCTCCTCCTGTGTTCTGCTCAGTGACACAGCTCCGTCTGCGCTCAGACTCTCCTTCCGGCCGTCGGCTGCACTGGCTCGTCTGCTGCTGCTCCTCATCTGACCGCAGTCGCTCTCCTCGTCCTCTGGAATGGGGTTGTACCAGATCTCTCCTTCATCGTCCGCATCGTTCTCTTCCGCCGGGTCGGTTCTGAGGGGGTGTGTGTGCTCCTCCAGGCCCGCAGGGGGCGCTGTCATCTCCTCCGGCTGCAGGAACGCCCGCCCGCAGCTCTGCTGGAGCCAGTTGCGCTTTTTGGAGACGGTGATGTGGTTAAACGGAGCCTGACGAACACCGGGCTCTCGCTGACACACACCGGACACACACTCCATGTGCACTAGGAACAAAGCAAACAAACACACAAACACTCAGCTGTGATTCTGCAGAGCTGTCGCACACACATGCATCAGTGCTGGGTGTCAATCTGCACACTGAGCGGTCCACAGGGGGTTCTGCTCATCATTAAGGCTATTTATTTACATATGCAAATGTGCTCAATATATTTGCATTCCGCATTCAGATTGGTTCATTCATTTTCTTTCAGGCTGAGTTCCTTTATTAATCCTGAGTCACCACAGTGGAATGAACCGCCAACTTATCCAGCACGTTTTTATGCAGCGATGCCCTTCCGGCTGCAACCCATCACTGGGAAACACCCATACACACTACGGCCAGTGTAGTTGATCAGTTCCCCTATAGCGCATGTGTTTGGACTGTGGGGGAAACCGGAGCACCCGGAGGAAACCCACGCCAACACGAGGAGAACATGCAAACTCCACACAGAAACACCAACTGACCCAGCCGAGACTCAAACCAGAGACCTGAGTGCTGTGAGGCCACAGTGCTGACCACTGGCTCAGTGTTTACTCCCTCATGAATATTCAGCAGGACAGCAGCAATCAGACTGAGCGCCGTCATGTGACGCTGCACTTATGTAAGCTGGACTGAGCTCTGGATAATCTGTTTAGTGGATCTTTCCTGCTCCGACCACTTTCCTACACACACACACACACACGCACACACGCACACACACACACACACACACCGTCAAGAACACCAGTAAAACACACTCTGACATGTGTTTAGACTTCACACTGGTGTCTGTGTTAGCAGCTTACAGTCTATGGTTAGCAGGAGCCATCATGAGGCGTACACTGAGGCGTACTGTGTGTCTGTGTGTGTGTGTGTGTGAGTGTGTCTGAGAGAAAGAGAGTGTGCGCGTGCGTGTGTGATTGCATGTGTGTGTGAGTGCATGTGTGAGAAAGAAAAAGCATATGAGACAGTATGTGTGTGCGAGATTGAGTATATGTGCAAGCGTGTGTGTGTGTGTATGTGAGTGCATGTGTGCAAGACAGAAAGAGTATATATGTAAGAGTGTGTGTGTGTGTGTGTGTGCGTGTGTGTGTGTGTGTGTGTAGGAAAGTGGTCGGAGCAGGAAAGATCCACTAAACAGATTATCCAGAGCTCAATCCAGCTTACATAAGTGCCGCGTCACATGACGGCGCTCAGTCTGACTGCTGCTGTCCTGCTGAATATTCATGAGGGAGTAAACACTGACCCAGTGGTCAGCACTGTGGCCTCACAGCACTCAGGTCTCTGGTTTGAGTCTCGGC